CTTCGGAAAGGCTTTTGACTCGATTAAGCACGGATTACTCCTTGAAAAGCTTGAGAATTTTTATCTTCCTAGGGCTCTGCTTAAATAGATGGGGGCGTTTTTGAACAGGCGAACCTTCAGAGTTCGGGTAGGAGAGGCACCATCGACGGAGGGGAAAGTCACCCGTTGGGTGCCACAGGGCTCCGACCTGGGCCCGATACTTTTCCTGCTGTTAGTAAGGGGTTTGTCCATCCCGACATTCGTGTCCGCGAATGGCGTAAAGTTAGTTACTTCAGGCTCGCGAGACCAACTACAGAAAAACCTAACAAAGGGTATCTGTTCGACTCAGATAAGATACCTAGACATAAATCCGTCAAATTGTCACATATTGAACACTGACGGCGGTTCAGTTAGTGTAAGCACGGATTTGGAAACCAACAAACTAACGCGCGTACCCGAAACGAAGGATTTGGGGATAGTAGTTCCTGAAAACTTTAAGCCGGGAGAACAGTGCAAAGTCACAGCAAAAAGGGCGAGAGGTCAACTATTCCAGTTGAGAAATATACTACCACTTGAAATGCAGAAGTCTTTATACCACTTTATAAGGCTCTGGTGAGACCCCACCCAGAATTCTGTGTCCAAGCCTGGGCGTCTACCTTCAGAAAGACATCCAGTGCATCGAGAAGGTTCAAAGCTTAGCCACTCGGATGGTCTCGGGCATAAGGGACAAGTCAGATGAAGAAAGACTTGAAGCGTTAGACCTCTTTTCTATGGAAATAAGATGCCTTAAGCGTGAACTTAAAGAAACATTTAAGATAGTGAAGGAATTCACTGCCGTAAGCGCTCAAAAGTTTGTTCACTCGAACGCCCGTAGAGGTCACCAGAGGACATACTCTTAAGCTCTTAAAACCATGGGCTCGCCTCGGTATGCCGTTTAACTTCTACACGAACCACGTAGTTGATAGACGGAATGAGCTACCACCGCACCTGCTGGAATGTGCGACTACAGTCGACTTCAAGAGGTCGTTAGACATGGTTTGGATTCAAGTATACCTAGAGGTAATATAGCAGCGGGGTCTAAGGTTGTTAGAGTTGACATACTTCTTGTTTCTCAACTAATCTTGTTTACATATATCGTACTGGAACCAATTTCCTGCCGGAAAACAATTGCAAAACAGCGACTGAAACGATTTTGTAGCTTTGGGAGAAGAGACCTTCCTACCGGAGCAAGAATCTGGACGCTTGGTTGGCGAAAGCCTTTTCCGTCCTGTGGTACCTGACTTGAGTTCTCATGCATTTTCTGACTCTTCTGATTGTTCGCTGTTAGNCTGTTAGTGTTCACCGTATTCAACCATTGTGCGCCTGAAAGGGATAGAAAGAGTAAGACAGTTATTGGTACTGAACACATGTCCGACCATTTCTCTTCTGATGCTGTTATAGCAACAGGTTTTGCATTTATACCTTCTAGATAGAAGTTTTACTTAGTAGTTAAAACAAAAATAAACGTTACCAATAGAGTGGAAATTAACAAAGTATAAACCATATACTGTCCAAGGAAGTCGGTTTATTAGATCACAAACCATGGATTCAACAGACACTTGACTCTCAGATGGTGATCCAAACCCTAGTATAGTTCAAGATAACTTTGCCATCAACAGAACGGATATAGGTAGCTCTTTATAAGAGGGAGAGGGAGCCCTCCTACTAAGACCTCACTGATGGCCAGTAGATGCGAATAATGTTTAAACAAGGTCAACGTGAAGGTTTCATGAAGCTATTTGTTGTTGTATTGTAGTGGTCGGGCTTCTGGTCTGAAAATCGAGGGAGAACAAGTCGTAATCAACAACAAGCAACCGGAGTCACGGGCAGCAAATACACGCGTTCAGGCTTCACGCAGGGAGAAGACGGGTGAGCGGTAACAAGAGTTTATCAGAGCGGCATGCAACAGTAAAGAGCCGGAAGTCGGGCGGGGGTCAAATGTCCGGGAATATACGTGAAAGGGAGGTCAAGGTCACTCTTAGGGAGGGGGGTCAACCAATTAAGCGTTCATTTCTTCGGCCCATTGGTGGATGGCGCACAGTGGGTTACCTGGAACACAGGAAGAAAATAATGGGGTATTACCACAGATAGGTCATTACACAGCCCCCTCTCCTGAAAGGGCTGTCTCAAGCCCCTCTACAGGTAACTATACTTCTTCGGCGTTCCTTCAGCCTGAGATAGGGGGAATCGACGGTCGCGCGGCGTTGGTTTCAAGCGGTTGAAGTTCACTATTTGGCTATCACTATTCGGATCTCCGCGAACGTTGCCCACGCGACATGTGGTGGGGCTGAGGACGTCGATTACTAATAACGGCCCTTTCCACTCATGTTTCAGTTTTGATGGCATGCCAGGTGATCGTGTCGTTGATTTCAGCCACACTTGTTCTCCTGGTTGCACCTTCGGTCCAGGCGAACACGTTCTGATATTTCAAGATGGTGTTTCGTGGCTTGGCTTCGTTCCCGATCGGACATAGTACCAGCATTTGCTAAAAGGTCCTCGATGTGACCATGTCTTGGTCTCGTGTTGCACCCCATTATTTTTTATCACGGTGCCTTGTAGTTGAGGCTTCGAACGTAAGGCATTCGCCGGTAATGTTCAGAAAGCCCTTGCCTGGATTTATGTTGCACGAGTGTTGTGACAGGAAATCGACACCTAGGATGGCGTCCCACTAAGGATTGCGGACTACCACCACTTCTTGACATAGCTCTGGGCTCCCTATGCTCAACTTTACCTTGACAGAGCCTAGCGTACGTACCCGAGTGTTACTGGCAGCCCAGAGTTGTCGCGTAACTCAGGTGCGCTCTTGGGGGATCATAGGAGCATGTTTAACCAGAGTGCAAGCCAACCCCGTGTCTACCAGCATTCTACCTTAAACAGCATTTATCAACCCGCGGATGACTGGCAATGACTCAGAAGGTATAGAACAAACGAATGGCAAATAAGAACATTTGGGAGACTCAATTGAGTGGCTGTTCCGTGAGCTCGAGCTGTTCCACTGCTTCTTCCGTTGCTCGCGACTACTGGGTCCTTGGCCATCTTGTCTCATCGGGTGGCGTCTGAGCTCCATCGGCGTTTCGCAACACCTGGTTTCAACACATGTTTGGGGGCTGCTGGTGGCTCTTAGAGGGACGAAGAGCGATCAACGGCTTTCTTGAGAGACACTGGAGGTTTCTCCGCGAACGAGTTTTGCACGGCGGCTGAGCGGACGCCATCAGCTAACTGATGCAGTAGCGATGGTTCCTTGAAGCTTGGTTCGCACTCCGAGAATGCCGATGTAGCCAGTTTTCGCAATTCCGCAGCACACCAATGAGCGGTTTCGTCGGGTGGCTGTGTCCGATAACGGAAAGCATCTCGGACTTGTGTCTTCCACCGGTGCGGGACGACGATAGACAGTCTTATGTCGAAAGTTTCATCCGTGACATCTTCGGGGACTTCCTGATGGATCTGGTCGTACACCGTTTCGTCTACAAGAGACAACNGTTCCGTGAGCCCGAGCTGTTCCACTGCTTCTTCTGTTGCTCGCGACTACTGGGTCCCTGGCCGTCTCGTTTCATCGGGTGGCGTCTGGGGCTCCATCGGCGTTTCACAAGACCTGGGTCCAACACATGTCTGGGGGCTGCTGGCGGCTCTTCGAGGGACGAAGCGCGACCAACGGCTTCTTTCAGAGACATTGGAGGTTTCTCCGCGAACGAGTTTTGCACGGCAGCTGAGCGGACACCATCGGCGAACCGATGTAGCCAGCTTTCGCAATTCAGCAGCAAACCGATGAGCGGTCTCGTCGGGTCGCTGAGTCCGATAACGGAACGCATTGTTTCTTCCGCCGGTGCGGGACGACGATAGACCGTATTATGTCGAAAGTTTCATCCGTGACATCTTCGGGGACTTCCTGATGGATCTGGTCGTACACCGTTTCGTCTACAAGAGACAACAATATGTACTGTCGTTTGGCGGGTTCCCACATGCGTAGGTATCGCCGGGCTTGGGATTCCCACCGATCGCAGTCGTCCCCAATGTGGAATTTTGAGGGTGTCGGAATCTGCTGCGCGGCCATATTTTCGGTTGCCATACTTAATGCTGATAGTGCCTGGAGGAGCATCGAGTTGTTATCAAACTTTTCTTCCTCTCTTGGGGTGGACGATTCACCCATTTTCGGCATGAGAGGAGGAATCAAGTTCACTCTTAGGGAGGGGGTTAACCAATTGAGCGTTCATGTCTTCGGCATGTTGGTGGATGGCGCACAGTAGGTTACCTGGAACACAGGAAAAAGTAATGGGGTATTAACACAGTTCATTACAGTATTGCCCGATAATCATTTTCTGCTGTAACTTTGTTTGTTCTCACCAATATAAGATAATTAGGATAAACTGACCTTGACACCGCGCGGTTCGAAAATTTGACGTGGGGACTCCTGAGATCAAATAAGCTGCAAAACCAAGGAAGGAGCCGAAAATTCCGGGATATAGGAACTGGGAGAAAGGTTTTCAAAGTTTGGCAAAGGAAAACGCAGAAGGTGATCCGACATCGTACTGTGTATCTTGGCGGGATTCACTTGACCTAAAGCGCAATACCAGCGGTTTTCCAATTCTACTGTAAGGAATATTGTATATCCGAGATTTCCAGCGCAAAATAACGAAGGCTTTATCTTAATAGCATCCGCAGTTTACTCTTACTTTTCTACCTGCTGACGTTTGATCTCTGTCTATAAGATTTCCAAACTCGTTTAAAAGATTGATATGGAGCTTAACCATAATGGCATGGGCACCAGCGCCAGGTCATCCACAGGGAAATNACGGCATGCAACAGTACAGAGCCGGAAGCCAGGGGGGTCAAACGTCCGGGTCTATATATATATATATAAGCGGGGTCAAGGTCACTCTTAGGGAGGGGGTCGACCGATTGAGCGTTCATGCCTTCGGTACGTTGGTGGATGGTGCACAGTGGGTTACCTGGAACACAGAAAAAAAGTAATGGTGTATTAACACATGTAGGTCATTACACTGACCAAGTAATATATCCCGGGTCGAACGTCGAAAACGTTATGTTGGAACGTTTAAACA